TCCCTCGATTGATTCGACGGGCCGAAGTGTCGACGACGACGACGACGTAGTCGTCGTCGTTGTCATCGCCGCGCACACCGCATGAAATCTCGAACGACACGTACGCGAGTTTTGGGTGAAAGTTCGAGAGTGTGCGCCGTTGTCGTCGTCGCTGCTGCTGTGTCTGCTGCTTTGCCGTGCTGCTGCTCTACTGCTGCTACCTTCAGAGGTTAAGTCACTGTCCGCCAGAACTTAACCTCAAAAATTATCGATGAAACGTCATGGTTTCGTACTTTAATCGTCGTCGTAATTCTCGTCATTGTCGTGCGATACATTTCGATCTTTCCTTACATATATTCTTTCTTTTTCCTCTAAATAAAGAACGAGAAAATCATTCTCGTGAAATTCTACGCTCTTTCGTATTGTCGCGCAATCGTATGCGCGCGCGTTCTCTCTCTCTCTCTCTCTCTCTCTCTCTTTCACGGTAAGTCGTACGTAGCAAGTACGTATGTACGTCGTCGAAGCTTCCTGTGTCGTTGATAGATCTCTCCTTATTGACGCGGTACGCGTCTCGATCTAAACGAATACCATTCGAAGCTTATTCCTCGATCTTTGCTGCTTTCTTTTATGTTTCTTTCTTTTTTTTTTTTCGTCGTTCGTTCGTTGTTTCACATCGAACGTTACTTTTCGAACATCGATCTCTCGATAGCGATAGCTTTCGTTGTAACGATAATGAGAAATATTCCCCGACGGATGAGTCACGCACGTGGCGCCATTAGAGGAAAGAAAAATGGAGTACGACGTGTTGTACCGCGTGTCACGCCGCTGTTCGAAGAGTACTTGCTCGTTAGTCTTACAAAAAAAAAAAAAAGAAAAGAAAAAAAAAATCCAACTTCGAAATTTCCTCATGTGCTCGATTCTCTCAGATATTGACGATATATGTAGGGTGAGTCGGTGACCATTGCCATCTTCAACATTTTATTCATCGTCATCAGGAAATAATGTTTCGTACGGGAATGAAAAAAGAAGTAGTAGACGACAAGTATAGACTAATAAATAAATTTTGCTTAATAATAATTATATATTGATTCACTCCTTATATTTTTGCTTCTCTGTTTTGTTTTTTCTCTCTTCTCCTAATAATATGCATCGAAAATGAAGAAAGGAAATAAAGAATTTTGTTTCGTTAAAGCTGAGAAAGTGATATATATTCTTCGGACAATACATCCTCCTCCGTCGTTGTCGTTCGGTGCTTAATGCGCGAATTCCTTTCTCGGTTATTCGACACCTCAACGCAAGGTAAAGAAAGCCGCGGATTCTTAAAGCGTCCAGGCCGCCGACGGTTTTGTAAGCGAGAATGACCGGAACATAATCGGATTAACTTTTTCTTCTTAGTTTGAATTTACCGCCTGTAGGAGCCGCGGGTCACGTGATCCTGGGGATCGCGCGAATTTTCAAACGATCCCGAAAGTTTCCTTTCTCACTCAGGTATTTCTCTTTGAAATAAAATTTGTTCAAAGAAAGTGATAACGAGAGATTGATTAGATCGTAAACGTCATTATTCGTAAATAACGAAATTTCTATTCTCCTCCATCTGTACCTTCGTTTGACAAAAATGAACGTTTCTTAACAGCGTCATTGACTCTTGTCAAATTTATTCGTTTCGAAGGAGAATATCTTAAAACTCTCGTTGCCGAAGTAAAGTCCTTCCCCCCCCCCCTCGCCATGCTTCACATTCCTCGTAATTTCGGTTCGCATTTGACCCGCAAAGCGTGCCGAGAGGTGGATCGATTAAGAGAGAACGACGATAGGTCAGTTACGTACGAGATTTACATGCCCCAGCTTCCGCGTGATCCATCCGTCGTCCCTGTCTCTCCCTCCCCTTCCCCCTCTCTCTTCTCTCCCTTCCGTTTTCCCTGTGTGCTTTATCGGAGAGATTCGACCGCGAACTACGCGCCTTTTTTTCAACGAACAATGTTCAAGGTCACGATTAAATATAGAACCGAAGCTCTTCTCTCTTTTATCATCGTTCCAAGTAATAAAAGGGAAAAAAAGAAAAATTCGTTTACAAAACACACGATGAACGTTCGTTCGGATCTTATCGTCTCTCGCGTATATGTATTCGTCAATGAGTTTATACCAAGCGTGGACATTTTTGAAGGGTTCGTTTTGCTCTTTACTTGTAAGTACATTATCGACATACGGAATGTAGTCGTACGCGGAAACACGGCGCTTCTAATAATAGGCGACACGTTCCACGACGTCACTTATTGGTCGGCTTTACTTAGTCCTCTGGAGAGAGAGAGAGAAAGAGATACGCGCGTCTAGTACGTATGGCACGTTGTCCGTAAACGATATGGCGCTTATTGCGAAGTCGCGCTTTATCCAATGAAAAAAACTTTGACATGAATTAGCAATTTTTGTGATCGAAGGTCGATAAAGGAAAATAGAGAGAGAGAGAGAGGAAGAGAGAGAATAAAAAATATGGCCGTCGTATTGTCCACTATTTTTCTTACTTTTT